TAAGATATATATTATATAAGTTATATTGTATATATATACATATTTGTATATTTATATATATTTGTATATATATACATATATAATTTGGTCTATACATATATATATGAGTTTATTCTTTCCCTTTGATTTTTTTAAAATTTTTTAAAATTATCTTCAAATTTCTCCTTTTTTTAAACATAATTATCTCCATTTCTTCATTGTCTTTGACAGGAGTAAACCTGTCATTGTATCAAAAATCTGGGTGGCTGCTGAGGACCCTGTATCTCTATCCCCATGTGGCGCTATGGTGAAAGGTTCTCTACGACGCGACGCATGACGCATACTTCTGACTTGGTGGTACATGCGATAAATGTACGATCCGGTAATAATTACAATAAAATAATTTTAGGATACAAGAAATAAATTGAGATGATATTTTTCATAAACTGAGAAATATTTATGCTTTTATACTGCATGAAAATTAAGAATTCTGATATAGAACAGAAGTGGCCCACATGGCGTCCATAAATCGGAAACGAATCGACAGATTGTGATGAAAATTAATGAAGAACTTGTAAATAGTTTACCTTCTGCAACAATATCAAAGATTTCGACTGGATAGTTGATATTCACATTGGCGCGAGTTTTTTGAACAAACCGAATATAATGCCTCGTTGATCGTTTAAGGTTATTTAGCACAACAAAGTTCTGAAAATGGCTTTCGATAATGAAGGATATTTTGTGAAATTTTAGGTTTAATTTGACTAATATATTGAATTGGACGATATATTATATTAAATAATATACTAATATATACTAATAACATATACCGACTAATAGTTAAATTATTATGTGCTTGAGAAGCGGGATAATTACTCAAAATCCATCAAGGGAGGCGAGAGCCTATGCATTTTGCAAGCGTGATGATGTGCTGGCTGTAGCTACTTGGAACGTTTATGAATGTTAAAAGTCAAGCGATCACTTTCCACACCCTCTCTAAATACCGCGTAGATGTGGCCTATTTGTTGGAAGTCTGTCTTCCTTATGTCTGCTCCCGAGTAAACCTGGTTCTGAGCAAAGATATTGACTATATCACAGTGGTGTCTCGTATAACTTGGGGCGAATTGGTGTCATGTCTGAAAAGGCTCGATCTGCTCTTATTGAATGGAAACCATTAAATGATCGTATTGGGTACATGCATTTCAAAGGAAAGGAAAGTTCTGCAATATTTCTGTCATCAATGTATATACTCCAACTTCATGCGCAGATGACCGCAAAAAGGATAACTTCTATGCGGAGCTTGAACTATTAACAACGTCTCTGCAGATAAATGACATGGTCATAAACGGGGAGGACTGGAATGTGTGCGCATACTCATGTTGCAACCATGATAAACTAGGTAGTTGGCAAATGTGGCATCGGGATCCAATGCGCCAATGGAGAACGCCTTCTTCGTTTTGCGGAATAGCACCAGCTGTTTGTTACTAATACATGCTTTAGGGTTCGGAGAAGACATATAGTTACGTAGAACTCTTCGATTAACCAATATTTCCAATCAGATTGATTGTATATTAATTAATCGCCGCTGGGAAAGTTCTATTTTTGATAGTCGTTCTTATCAAGGTAACCGCCATGGATCAAATCATGTTATGGTTCAGTTGAAGATTCGTATAATATGACGATTCGTAAGAACGTATTCTGAGATCTTTCAACTATCTCAAATTAAAAGATCCGTGAACAATAAGCGTATTTCAAACCTTATTACCTCAATGAAATGAGCGTCAATGATATCTCTGGAACGGCGAATGAATACTGGTTCCAACTAAAGTCATGCTTAAAGACTTAAAAGTTTTGTGCTTATAAAAATCAGCTATTCCCACATTAGGGTAGAATTGTAGGAAGTGCGCTGGTTGGATGTCGGAAACAACTTTCCAACTGAAAAAACTGCCAAAGTATAAATATCAGAAGATTCTGAGTATCGGGTGCTTCGAAGAATTACAACGACAGCAGCACGGCCGGACAGAAATCGCTATTGGAGCGATATAGCCTTGAGAATGGAAACAGCGGCTTGGATAGGTGATAATAAGATACTCTTTCGCCTTCTTCACAAACTAACTATAACTCGAGAAAGGGTCAGTGAAATGATACGAGATATTAATGGGGCGCCTACTAGAGCTATTAAGGATCGCCTCATAAGATGGAAGGAAATTTTTGATGCCAAACTTAACCACGATGCGCTATCTGTTGTCCAGAATATAACTAATTCTCACGACGAAACTTTGGTTTGCAACTACCAAAATAATCTCTATAATCCATAAACTTAAGACCAATAAAACTCCCAAAGATAAGCTAGTCTTCAAATGTTGTCCATCATCGTTCATAACTCATAACTCACCTTCAACAAATGTATTCTCTGGTATAGCAAAAGGAAATAATACCTGGAGACTGGAGTAAAGTAATTCTATTTCCATTTCCTAATGGGATGGGACGTATTGCGATAATTACCGAGGAATCAGCCCACTAGATATGACAGGAAATATTTTCGCTGCCTTCCCATCCCTTTCACTAAAAATAGACTCATGGCAGTGCGAGACAGCAGGAAACGCTTTAACCAAGCTGGATTCAGACCAGGACGCGGTCGTGCTGACCAGATATTTACGCTAAGAAGGGTGCTGGAAGATCGCTTAATACCAGCAACCCACTGTCATTTGCTTTATCGATTTTGCATCTACCTTCGATTCGAGTGATATAGCAGTGCTCTGGAAAGTAATGGAATGTGACGGTGTCCCGAAAAAGATCATTCGACTATAAAGGCATTTAGCATACCCTTGCGCAGGTACATGGGGAACTGACACACTCTTTCGAAATAAGAACTGGTGCCCGTCAGGACTGAGTCCTTCCCCTTAAAATATTTAACTATGCGATAGACTGGATAATAGATATTAAGAGGTGTACAAATCAGTCCAGAGCATTTTATCTGATACCTTGAATACGCTGGTCATGTAGTCCTTATTATGACGAAATACAAATAATGCTGAACGTGTCAACAAACTATAGCGAGAATCGGACTCATGGTTAATATAAGTAAAGTAAATAAAACGAAATTCTTTTTGTTTTATATACATACAAGAAGCTGGTGGAATATCTATTTTATAAATATGCCAGTTGAAGAAATGCTCGATTTTGAATCTCTTGGATCCACTGTAATATCGAACGGCCAGGCAAAAGATGGAATTATAACCAGGGTAACGGTAGAAATGCATTCTTCCGTGGCTTATATGGAGTCATTAAAAACAAAAATCCGCATCTGCAATCAGCGCAATTTTGTTATATTGCCGCAAAACATAGCCAATGAGAGTGGAGGATGCTAAGAAGCCATCAGCTTATGCCCATTCGTGTCTAAGATACATTTTGCCAGTCCGCAGAAAATGTTTCTTGAGTGCATCCAACTTCGCTGAAATACCAGTTGCATCAACAATACCATCACAAATCGCCGCCTTCGCATATATTGAGTTTTTCGTTGCCCACCATAGGAGTTGGCACATATTTCTCTATACCGTATGATAGATGGTGTCGCCAAAAGGCGAAAAAAGCTATAAATTTAGCAAATCAACGGGATTCCCACCCATCTTAAATTAAATATAAGCTCCCAAAAGATCAATTTTGGTCATTTTTGTATTTTATTGGGGGAAACGAGTGGGTGAGTGATGGGCACTTAGTTTTTATATTTAATTTCTTTGACTATATTATTTCGTCATAGTAGGGCAATTACTTCGCTTTATTTTCTTGTATATATTTGCGTCTTTACCAATAAAGGTTTAATTACCCAAATTTGAGGTTCGCAACGAGAAAAGTAAGAAGTAGAACGATGGCCGCAGAGTTTTCATAATATTGATAAAAAAGAAAAGTTCCGCATGGCAAGAAAGTTAAATCTGTACAGAAAAAGGATAATGGAGCGGATTCCCAAAAGGAATTGTTGTAAAAGTAGAATATTGAAAGGGAATCGTCGTGCTCCCAACGGAAATTACTACTGTACTACTAAATTACTACTATGTACTACTATAAAATCCTTTTTTTATACATTGCGTCGGCCTGGAAGACTCGTTGTTTGAATTGAACTTTGAAGTAAGAATATCAGTCAATTATTGGTCGATTATTGATCAATATCATTTGGATAATTTTTATCGAGGAAAGAATAATTAAGAAAGGAAAAAGAAATATCGAGGATCGATATTCAGGAAAGCTTTATTGGTTTGAAAATCTTTTTTTTGAATTTTCGTAAGAGTTTCTGTAATTTCCGTCATTATTTATAAGTTTATTGATTCGGTTTGAAAATTTGAAAATTTATTTTGCTGTGACCCGAATATTGTCGAAATGATCTCGTTACTGAAGTTGAGAATTGACCTCTAGCAACGGAATTAATTGAATGCTTAACTAAAGTAGGAGGTTTTAAGACCTTTACAAATTTAAAATACTCACAAATAGAACTTGCACAGCTGGATGAAATAAAGCAACTTAAGTTAGATATCAGCCAATTGGCCCAATGCGTTAGTAATGGGATAAAGAATGGGAGGCATTAATAAATGACCCTCTCGATGCCAATAGAGATGCAGAAGAATATAAATTGATGGCAGCTAGCCCGAGTGGGTACTTGATAAATCCATTATTATTGAAGAATTATATAAAGAATTAAGAGAATTAAACCCAAAAACAAAGGATATAAAGGAAATTCGCAAGGACTTGGAGCGAATATTTCGCCAGTTGATATCTTTAGGAGAAGATATCAACAACAATTCGAATTTTGAGCATGGCACAAGCTAAATTGCCAATATATGTGCTAAAAAGAGTTTTAGAAGAAAAAAGAAAATGCTCAACATGGGATATAAGCGAATCAAGAAATGCAATGAAAACCTGCGAAGAGGAAGAGCTCCTATTAAGTAGAAGGTGATAAGGAGCGGTGGTGAGGAAAAGTTGCCGAAGCACAAGACTATAAATAACTTTAAAAAGGAAAATAGGAACCCATGATATGGAGCAGTCAGAACGTATCAAGTCAACCATGGTATGGAGTAAATTGCCGTGAAGAGGAATATTAAGAAATGTATATTTTGTGAGAAAGAACATCGGAGTTACCAGTGTAAAAAGATAGCCTCTTATGAAGAGAGGCTGCAGCTCCTAGAAAGCTTTAACGATGCTTTCGAATCCAACAAGATCAAGAACAAATGACAGTAACCACTGCCAATTTTTTAAGAGAAAATTCAATAGTGAACGAAATATTCCTCCCTTGCAGGGAAGTATTCGTCATAAATCCACTGAGACCAAGCAAAAAAATTCGAGCTTTAATTCTGTTGGACACGGGAAGCCAACAATCATATATTTCAGAAACATTACGAGAAAAGTTGCAGCTTGTAGCAAGAGAACAACAAACAATTACTGTATCAAGCATCAAAAATTCCCCAGAAGTACCATACCTCGATAGTGGAAGTAGGGATAATACTTCATGATGGCTCTATATTCAAAATAATGGCAAATACGATGACACAACTGACATTGCAAATAAAATATATGCAGTTGGAAGGATATCAATCTTCAAGAACGGAAGGTGTAACGGCGAAACCCGATATATTGATAGGCTTAGATTATTATTTCTCTTTTATGAGGCAAAAAGAACGTGAGAAAGGACTCTGGCGGATATGACTCACGGTTAGGTAAAATATTTGTTGGGAAAACTTGTAATCAGAGGTTACAAGGCCAACAAGAAACATGTCGTAGCTTATTAACCTTCACGGTGCTGATAGAACAAGATCTGTCGCAGTTCTGGGCTCTAGAAACTATTGGAATCGCAGACCCAATTGACTTGATTGATGATGAAGAAGCATATGAATTTGAAAAATCAGTCAGAAGAAATGACGAAGGAAGATATGCCATATCATGGCCTTGGAAAAGTCCTGATCCCAAAATCGAGTTTGGTAGATTGACATCCATTTGGAATAAACTGCTGAAGGATGCAAGCCTGAGACATCAATATGACCAAATATTTAAGGAGATGATAAGATAATCGAACCGGCTCCTTCAGAAACACCGTATCTTAAATATTATATTCCACATCTTCCGGTTATCTTTCCTGATAAATGCACAAAATTAAGAATAGTGTTTGATGCATCAGCGGCCAGTAGGAAAGGTTATTCGTTAAACGATCAATTGTATAAAGGCCCTACACCTGGCTGGAATTGTTTTAAGGCTGCGATTGGGAAAATTTATTCTAATGGATATAGAGAAGGCTTTCCTTCAAGTGGCAGTGAATGAAGACCAAAGAGATATGACGAGATTTTTGTGGTTGAAAGATGTGGAAAAACCACCATCGAGAAATAATCTACAAATATATAGATTTGCCCGCATGCCTTTCGGCCTTAAGTGTAGTACCTTCTTATTACCACTCATCATTAAGCATCATAGAAAATTTTTGAAAAAGCTTATATGAACTTGAGGATGTTTACAACTAATAGTGATAAAGTAAATCACTGTATTCTTCAAAACGATCTCAGCCCGAGCCTTTGACATTGGAAACGATGGCGAATAAAAATCTTAGGGATTGATTATAATTTAAAAATGGATCGTTTATCATGGTCCATTGAGAGACCTCCACAGGAATGTAGTACTAAAAGACAAGTATTACAATTCTTGTGTTAATATTCAACCCATTAGGAGTTCTAATCCCATGCACTCTTCCGATAAAGGCACTCTTCAGTCACTCTTCTCTTGCAATCTTCTTGCAAAGGCTTTAGTCGGATGAATATGAGTGGGATCAGAAATTTGATGAAATAAAGGGTCGACAATGGTGAGATTTAATAAAGAAATGTCAATATAAATAGATCGACCAATAGAGTGCATAAAGAATGAATGCAAAAAAGAGATTCACTGCTTTGTAGACGCATCGGAGAAAGCTTCGCTATAGCCTACATAACTGTTATTAAACAATATCGTCAGATATAATTTTTGATGGCGAAACCACTCAAAGGAACTTCCATTCCAAGATTAGAATTACTGGCCGTCTTTAGGCTGCAGACTCATCGATTTCATCGCTAGCCAAATTGGAGTTCATGAAGAAATACCACAATATCTGTGGTCTGTTAGTAGAGCTGTCATTGACTGAATCAAAAACGACAAAAAAGAGCAGCAAATATTTGTCCAAAATCGTTTAGAAGAAATCAGAAGATACCAACACGTGTCAGTTCGTTATGTGCCCTCAAAAGAAAATCCCGCAGATGACCTTTAAAGCATCATCGAAGCATTGAAACATTTCAAAGGGAATGTCTACAAGGAAAATTTAAAATTGTTAAAATTTTCTCCATTGTGGTGGCAGGGTCTTGGCTGGCTGAGCTACAGCCAGGAAAATTGGCCAAAGGAGCCTCACAATGAAATCATCCATCAAACCGTTACAACTTTTTCAGGAAAGCAAGTTAAAAGTAAAACCATTGAAGAAATTGAAAGGATAAAGGTAATTGATACATTTCGTCTCAGTAATTGGTGGAAATTAATCGGGACAATCGTATACGTGATAAATTTGTAGTAAAAACATCATAGAAGATTCGAAGGTTAGACCACATCAAGCACAGAAGCTCGAATATGAAGCTTCTGGCAAAAACATGCTTAATTCGACAATCTCAGTCGGAAGGAATAAACTCAGAAGATTTATTAAAATGGGAACTTTATCATGATGAGAATAATATCTATAGATGTAAAGGTCGTATTCCCAATAATGTAATATTCCTTCCTAGAAAGAGCAGAATCACCGAACGCATTATCTTACATCTTCACACAGCTCATGGTCGCTGTGCTACAGCATACACGCTGGCACTACTATGGCAAGAGTATTGGATTTCGAAGGGTAGACAGAAATGCAATAAGGAGAAATTGCATGAGCTGCAGAAGATGGATTGCTAAACCATTTAAACTACCCGACTGCCCAATTTGCGGGTTTACAAAATTCAGCAACAACGACCCTTTAAATCAGTTGGGCTAGATCTTTTATGGATCTTTTAATATTCGGAAAGAAACCATGATCGTTAAGAGGTGGGCAATTCTCATCATTTGCTTGACAACTAGAACTACTATTCTGTCTGATAACGGCACGAATTTCGAGTCAACAGCTAAAATACTCAGCTCCCAACTGGTGGAAGGGAGCGTAGATTGGAAATTTATAACGCCACATGCGCCCTGGCAAGGAGGGATTTATGAACGAATGATTGGTATAACGAAAATAGCCATGAGGAAAATGGTAGGCAGAAAATTGCTACATGAAGAAGAAATCAGAACGCTTTTAGTGGAAGTGGAAAACATTGTTAATTTGAGACCATTATCATAGGTCACGAAAGAACCCTGCGAAATCATCCGTCCTATTGATTTGATTTGTCCAGTAATGCAGGAAATAAGAAACCACTTACTACTGAATAAGGATGAGGATGAAGACTATGGCAGATCGGAAAGTTATAGTAGAGATGTACTCTTAAAAGGATGGAAAGAATCTGAAAAATTACTCCAAAGATTTTGGGAAGTGTGGTGGCAGGATTATATCAGCCTATTTCGAGAAAAGGCTAGCCGTCAGCATCGCAATCTCCGCTCGAATGTGAATAGAAGCCCAAAAGTAAATGAAGTCGTTTTACTATGCGAGGAGAACAAAGATAGAGGGATCTGGTAGTTGGCTAGAATCGTCGAAGTAAATGATGAGCTTCAGGGAAGGACTCTAAATCCCCATAGATGAGATCAGCAAAAATTAAGTTGGCCAATGGTAAAGAATTAATTAAACCAGTATCCCTCCTATACCATCTAGCAATTACGGAGGAAGAAGAACCCATCTCTAAGGAACACTCTACACACCCAGACACACCATTAGGGGATCAGGATGTGATGGTTTTAAGGAACAGAGAGGTTCCCAGATGTGTTAAATCCCATATCAAGCAAAAAACTCTGCATGAAGTTGTACAAAAGAGAGAACCATCACTTAAACAAGTCAAATTCTTTATTCTTATTGTAGCCACCTTCCTTTGTGTCAACGGCGTGCGTGGGCAGGTTTCACAATGTTAATTTCTGTAATGATCTCAAGGAAGGTGCATATTTTAATAATAAGGAAGAATTAATAATAAGGAAGAATTTATAAATGAATCAATTCTTAAGAATAGTCGAGATCATTATCTTATTATTAAACCCAGATAGAAACTGATAGGGATGCTTGCTCATAGCAGCGGTTATATGTATACCAGATTTTGTCAGGCTGCAGTGTCGCCAAAAGGCGAAAAAAGCTATAAATTTGAGCAAATTAACCGGATTCCCGCCCATCTTAAATTAAATATAAGCTCCCAAAAGATCAATTTTAGTCATTTTGTGCTTTATTGGGGGAAACGAGTGGGAGCGGTCGGTATATGATGGTATTTTAGATTTTATATTTGATTTTTTTGACAGTATTATTTCGTTGTAGTAGGGCAATTACTTCGCTTATTTTCTTATATATATTTGTGTCATTACCAATAAAGGTTTAATTACCCAAGTTTGAGGTTCGCAAAGAGAAAAGTGAGAAGTAGAACGCTGGCCGCAAAGTTTTTATAATGTTGAAAAGTCCCGCGTGGTAGGTAAGTTAAATCTACAAAAGGATAGTGGAGCGGATTCCCAAAAGGAATTGTTGTAAAGGTAGAATATTGAAAGGGAATCGCCGTGCTCCCAACAAAAATTCTGGACTACTATAAAAAAATCTCCCTTTTCTGTACAGATGGCTTCAAAAGTGAGGTGGGCCAATCAAGACCTGGACTGATATAGTTAGGGAAAATTTTGAAAGTATAGATGAACTAGATGAAAGTATAGATACAATATATGGACCTAGACAGTGGAAAATGTAACGCCTTTCATTATTATCAGAGAATGGTTGCAAATTATTAATAAAAATTTGTTTTCATATAAGAAGAAATACAGATAAGGCAGATTTGCTCCTACTGCGAGTAGAATCCTAGCATCGGTGGCTGAGTTCTGTGCTGATTGAACTCATCTAACTTATTGAACTCAAATCTTCAGATTCTGATCGCATTTAATTTATTTTATGTAATAACTACTTTTTACGTTCCACTGATTATTTTCATCATATGTTATTTTTCATCATATGTTTATCATATTAATTGGCTTATCACTTCGCCGAAAATCCACTAAAAGAGAAGCTTTAAATGACGAGCAAAACCTTGCAATATTTTCGACACAAATCCAGTTTTTAAAAAATCGATGGCAATAATTGGCACGTTTCTTATAACTTACCGGTAAAACTTCAGTCTTCACAACTAATCATTGCAGTCTTCGCAACTAATTTTTCTAACCATTATTTGATCGTAAGTGGTGGTCATTTTTTGCAGTAGATTCATTTTACGTAAAGATCGATTTAAAGACAAAGCGCCAATTTTCTCATTTTTTGATGAATAAAAAATATTCCATTTCTTCTACCGTTATTCAAAAAAAAGAAATTATCAATTCTTTGACATTTTAAAAATTTTTTATAAATAAATGAATTAAATAAATGACCAGCCAATAGTTGTTAACCATTTTGATAAAGCACTCTACAATATTGTTCTCAAGTAAAGATTGTGTACAGATGCGAAAACTTGCAAAAAATAATTTAGATATTCTAAATAATTCTTTACATAGTAAGAGTTCCAGAATTCTGCATTTTTTCTTTTTTTTGAGAATGCTTACCATTTCTCGCTCAGATTCAGCTGACCAAATAGTGTGCAAAGGACTCACGCAGCAGAAATACAGATGGGTCGCCTAGATTTTTGTAAGGCAAATTTGCTCCCACTGCGAGTAGAATCCTAGCATCGGTGGCTGAGTTCTCTCAAAACAACAGCTCACTGAGCCACTCCACACCATTCTATCCGGAATTTTATTCGGACTTGTAACTTGTTCGTTACTTACTGTTGACAACTGAAATGGTCGATAATTTTCAACAATATTAATTTTATTAATATTAATTAATTTTCTGATATTTTATTTATAAAAGTTGTCAAACAGTCGCTAATTTTAATGACTGGAAATATATCAAAGTATAAGTGCTTTTTATTCAGGGTCATCTATAAATAAGATTTCCTTAGATTTTTTTTTAAAGTATTCCTGAAACATCCACTTTATATTATCTATAACTGATGTTAAAAAAAGATCAGATATTGAAGTGACCAATTTTTTTTTGATGATAGAAAACAATAATAAGTCATACGAAGCGAAAGAGAATTTCTACATGTTTTTCAAGCAAAATTTTTTTTATAAATTGGTAATTGATTTTATGCAATTTTCCACGATATTTCAGTGATGCCGATCACGAAGGGCGACTAAATATTATTAAAATTATTAAACATTTAAAGTTTAACTTTCAATAAAAGTTTTTGCAATGGCTGAAAAATTTCCAAATACTTGCTTTACTTCGTACATTTTGTGCTCGTTTTCTACATGCAAAGAAGTGGCTGAAAGTTTTAACTGATTAGAAGCTTTGATTATTGCAAAATTTCGTTTTTTTTCACCCAAAAACTATTCAAAGTTTACCAAAAACCATTAAAATAAAAGTGTCGCATTTCTTTTTTCCATTATATTTCCACCTTGGAGCAGATATTAAAAATTTGTTATTCGAATGGTAACTCTTTTTTCAAAGAGCATTCAGATTTTTGATAAGATTTCTTCCGCTGGCTTTTCGGAAGAGAAATATGCTAAGGAGACCTTCGGCGATAGAAATACAAATGAGTTGCCGACATAATCCGGATTTTTTAAGGAGAAATTTACTCCTGATGGGAATAGAATCCCTGAATTGCTTAACAACGAGCCATCTCTTTTGATTAGACGATATTGTCGCCTGATGTATTAACTCAAGCCTCGATTCTCGATTTTCTGTGATAATTTACCACCAGTTATTGACCCCTAAAATAGTAACATAATTACTATTTTCATTTTATTTAAACTAGTTTTTAATGAATATTAATTCACTAATTTAAATATATCACTTATTAAGAAAAATAATTTGAAATAATTTCTTTTAGCACATATCGATCCATATATCAATCCATTTTTATATAAATCTGGTGCTGGAATTTTAACAACACATTCGAAATCTGCAATTCGATTTAATTCGAAAAGGTTAATTTAATAATGAAAAGCAACTTGTCTTTCGCATTAAACTGATAACATATTTTTAGATTTCATGACACGCGATTAATTTTATGTAACAAATTGGAATAATGAGAAAAAGAAATGTTTATGAATTTATTGCATAAAAATTTATACAAAGATTTGTTTGAGTAAAGCACAAATTATGGCAATAATTATTCGCTGTAATCAATTATTTGACAGTCACAAGAAATTTTTTTGGACACAAAAATAGGCAAATTACTTGCAAAATTTTTAAATCGCTAAATTTGTTCATAGAAAACTTAGAAATATAGAAACTTAACAAAAAACTTTTAAAGAATTCAATAATAAAAAAAGAAATGACTAACAAAGTAAAAAAATCATTATTTGGCCGACGAATCAATGATAGATTTGTTAATCAAACGACTTTCGTCGAAGGATTACAAGAGCTTTTCGGTTCATTGTTAAATAAAAAGTGAAAAAATTTTAAAAACAAGCAGAGCGAATCTAACCAAAAATGGTGAGCACTAACCACTTTTGAATTACGAAAATTTGCTAAAAAATTGTGTAAAAATAAAATGACCTACCAGAGCAAAATCCTTTCGAAGGTTATTTGTCGCTAAAAATCACAAGCACCACTCGGATTATTTCACTTTTAATATCGTCAATATCGTCAAGGAAGTCAGAAATCAGGCCAATGATGTTTGATCTTGATCGAAATGAAACATTTCATTCATTCTGAAACAGAACGGTGCAAACATGAATTTTCATCCAGCAGCGAGAATATACTTACATAAACTTAAAATTATGCATTGAAATTTTCATTATTAATATTTTTTTGATATTTTCAGATTCCTTTATTTTATTTTATTGATATAAAGCGTTTTTTTCAATCGATTCATTTAATTTTAATGGTAAATTGTGAATGATCATCGATCATACTGATCAAAAAATGATCTTATCTAAGTTATATAGTGATAAGTTATCAATCATTAGAATGGAATCTAAACCGCGTTCTATTATCAGCTTGATTTTTTAAATTTTTTTTGAATTTAATTTACCTGTTAGAAGTTGTTGCCTGAAAAATTTATGGACTGCGGATATTTTTGGACTGCGTAAAAACAGTGATAAATCAGGTTAAATGTAAAATGATTAAATGTTGTGTGGTTGAGTGACATGTCAACCTGGCTAAAGTCAAGCATCACTGCATAGATTCCTACCTTTTGAGTCGTAAGTGAGAAATTTTTGTGATGGTGAGAACATTACTTTTATTCACGAAAACAAGGCTTTGTCGAAGTGAAAAATGGCCCATACAAAAATGGCTCATTTTTTGAAAGAAAAAAATATGAAAATATCGCAGGCTAATAAGTTGCATCACTGTAAGAGTGAGATTTATATGAAATTTTATTATTTTATTATAATTTTATTATTAAAAATTGATATTATTCGCGATTTGATCTTGAGTTGTTTTATTTTATTCATTTTAGAAATTTTTTTTCTGATTTGACTCTTCATACTACAAATATAACTGCCGACAGACAAAGGGGTTAATTATTGACTATCATTTTGTGAGTCGGCTCTTCCAATTGCTCTATTAAAATATGTGAAAATAATTATTGAATATTATAAATCTTCGTTTGGACACCTCAGACGATAAGTTTTTTTGAAGATTTTCTTGAATTTAATTCCTAATTTTTTTATAATTTTTTCCATTAACCCTTATCTCCAGGAGCAAACCTGTCATACCAGAAATCTTGGGACCCACCTATAATTCTATCCTCAAGTGACTATATGATGAGTATTAAAGATCCCCATAAGATGGAAAGAACTCTTTGAGGCCAAACTTAACCACGATGTGCCGCCATGTGTTGTCCTGGACATAGTTTAATACGTTCGTCGAACCACAAGTTTACAGCCGCCAACAGAAAAGGAAATAATCTGTTATCCAATAAAACTCCAGGACTTTAGCTACTGTCAAGAAGAATTCTCTTTCGAAAATCTAGGTGACGCTTGTACTTCTATCGCCAGTGGTTGCTTGGCAAGATCCAATAAGCCAGCGAAGCAAATGGTGAGTACTTCAAAAAAAAGGGTTCAGTATGTTTGTAATTTGAAGTCTTTGATTTCATTCGGCTGGATTTAAGAACTTATCGATAATTTATTGCCAATTTCTTCTTTTTGCTTTTACTTTTAAATTTTTAATATTTGTTACGTAATATTCATGTTTACCAAATTACGAATGTTCAAAAGCGGCGTTTGAAATGTGAAAGTTTGCTATTATGAGAAATAAGATTTTTATGTTGTATTATTGTTATTACAAAAGGTAGATTCTATTTAATAGTGAGGCCATTACTTAAAATAAAGCTTTCAATTTTTAAAAAAAATGCTTTGACTGAGATCAAATACCATCGGATGGAATTCCATCTCATCACGAGAGTATATGAGTTTATATGAGCATGAGCCGTTTTCTTTTTTTTTAAACTGGTTATGATAGGAAAAATCATCATATAATAATAGCAAATAGGAGTAGATAGAGCTGAGTGGCTCAGTTGAGTTGAATGTTTACTTAAAATATATTTGAAAGGTTTCGGTTTATCATAAAATATACTTTTTATAACATGAAGACTTACCATGAGCAAGGGCAGGAAAGATTCAAGTTTTGCCAGTCAGAATATTATTAATCTTTAGGCTAAGGATTTCTCACAGAGTCGATAGATGGGACAAAATTTCACAGAAATTTCGAATTGTACTAATGAAAAAATATTCATGTGTTCTTGCGCCGAACGTTGCAATATAATCTGTATAAAAATATAAAAATATATCTGAATAAAAATCTGTATAAAAATATAAAGTTTTTGAGGGAACAATTATATTTTTGAAATGAGTTTGAATTTAAAAATGAGTTATAAATTTACAAGATTTTCATTTAAGAAAAATTTTATGTGCACAAATAAAAAAAGTTATATAATGTTTTCCAAATTTTTATATTTTTGTTTAAAAAAATTATCTTCATAGCTGTTATGGGCTACTTTAAATAAACATTTAATAGATAAAACAAGACCAATTCAAGCCAAAGGAATATCAAAAAAATCTTTACCTGTGAATGCAAAAATTTTTTAAATGAAAATCTCGTAAATTTTTAACATTTCAAAAAAAAATACAATTAGTAGTTACCTCAAAAA